GAACTCATGCGGAAGAGGTTTTAGATTCTCAGTGCTGTGCTTTAACCCACTGTGCCACCAGGGAGGGCCGGTCCTTTATTTTCTATTGACCAAATCATCTATGGTTTCTAAGCCTCTATTTCTTAAACAATAAAAATCAGTATTTCCCTTGGACAGTTGGTATAATGATCATATCGACAGTGTGTATGGAAGTTCTTTGCAAATCATCTTACAAACAGAACAGTATGTCTTTGCTTACAGAACAGCATTTATTGTTGATTAACTCATTGTCAGTTATATCCTACAGCTTGCTAATTTTTTTGGCCCCTGATTTATAAACTCTGGACTCAATCCTGAGAGTGATAGTATTGCCAATTAACTATGATTCCTGGTAGGAGTCTCTTACTTTAAAACCCACCTACTCTTGTGGGCAGCAGCTTCTAAGCTGAACAGTCATATCTTAGATGTTTATAAAATATTGAGCCTTGAGGTATCTGCCATGTTCTGTAACATATTTTTAAAACCAGTAGGGGATATATAAATACAATTAAATTTGTTACCAATCTTTCCTGAATCCAGCTGATATGGCACATCAAGACAGATTTCACAGTTATACATATACAGAGGAATGTTTAGAGATAAGATGAAAGTAGCCCTCCTTATTAATCACACACTGTATATTTGACTTCTGCCTTATCCTCAGCCTTTAAATCAGATACATCTGGCTTTTACTATTTAAGTGTGCCATTACCTTTTGCATTAAAAGGCAGATAGTCTTAGAGAAAGCAGCACAATTTGATTAAAAAATAATTAACTAGAGTTATATTTGTGTTACTCATCATGGCAAACCAAATAAGTGTTTTAGTATAGGCTGGAAAGCTATTTTACTTCTGAAATAAAGTAATCAGAATTGGGAGACTCTTTGATGAATGCTAGAATACAACAGTTATTTTGCTTTGGTGTTATTAACTTTTATAATTAAAAAGAATCACATTATACAGAATAGATGAGAGATGATAGGTAGATAGATAGACAGACAGATAGACATACAGACAGATAGATAGATAGATAGATGCCGACAAAGACGAGATTGTTAAGTAGCTGAACTTTAACGTAGTTGCTCTATGCCAAAGGGTGACTTTTATAGTGGGAACTGAGGCACATGATTATTATTACACCCAGAGCAAGTCAAGCTCTTATAACTTATCCCCACTAATCAACTACATCAATTATCAAGTAGATCTATATTGGTGGCTACTGATAAAATGAAACACATCTTAGGAAAGAAATTTATATTGGAAATCAAATTTGCATTTGAAATTTCTTGATAAGCAGGAAATCTGATACAGTATACATTTAATGGTTTAAAACAGGCGTACTCAAAGAAACTTGTCATTTACACAGAAGGTTTGAAGTGTAAACCAGGATGTAAATTAAAGCATTAGAGCATCACTTTCTTCATTGAGAGACTGAAGTAGAGGTACTTGTAAAGGTAGTGGTAGCGATAGAGACATAGATATGGATATAGAGTTTTAAAAATATGTAGTATCCTCAAATATAACTTGGAAATTTTGATTCAAAGTTCTTATGTGTAGCATGTACACCTGCATTTTTTTTAAATAATCCCCTTGTAGTTTGGATGAATATACAACTTTTTTTTTTATATAATGTAATAGCTTATTTTTACATCATTTTGTACATTTTTTTTTCATCTCAGTTGTAATCCCCATGGGCTTCCCATCACCAAGTCACCCATAAGAATATACAACTTTTAAGAGCTAGGTAATAAAATGCATGGAGCAATTAAATAGTGAAAACTATACTGAATCGGTTAGAGGTTAAAAACATGGGTTTTGGCATTGAGGGTTGGGTTCTTGTTTGTTCTTGAGCAAGTTGTCCTGGATTTTCTATGCTTTAATAATCTTACCTATAAAGTTCCTGTAACAGGGCCACCCTGGTGGTGCAAGGGTTAAAGTTACAGCACTTTCAAGCTCTTGCCAGCCACTGTGACATGAGTTTGATCACTAAAAATAGAGAGCAAACCCACAAGGTGCAGACATCTCCTCTCTTTCCTGGCACTCCTCTCCTCAGTGTATTTCACTAGATTGGCCTGTTCTGCTCCCCACTCTGTCTCTGGTGGATCCTCTCACCCCCCACCCTACCTCCTACACCTTTGGCCTGGTCTCCAGTTCTTGTATACATACATAAGTAAATTAAATCTTTTTTTAAAAAGGTGTCTTTAATGATACCTGACACATAACATTCTTCTAAGGGTTAAATATTGTAAATTAGCTCAGTTCCTGCCACACAGTAGAAATTTGATAATTGTCATTTACAAATGGCACATACCATTTTCATGGGTACAGACTTACCAATCATTCTAATAATGACCACATTCATGTGCAAATCCAAGTTCCCAGATGAGCAAGAAACACACTGCTACTGTCTGAGGCTTTGCCTATCTGAGGCTTCTTTTGCTAAACATCCATCAAATGTTACCAGTCAAGATTCCTTTGTTTGTGTGAGTTGAAAGCCTAAAGCACTATGATTGACAAGAACAAATGCAAAAACAAGCGTGGGATTCTCCAAGGGAGTTTATTACATCAGCAGTTCACAATAGAATGTTCACGAGTGGAGCAGACCATGGTGCTGTGTAGGTAGCCCTCTGTATCACCTGGCTGTCTCTGTGCCCACCCAGCTACTGTCTACGTGTCCATCTTTCATGTTTCTCTACCTCTGCACTCTGTTTCATTATCTAATTTTTCTCAGTCAGCCTCACCCTTAGGCTGACTTTGTTTTGTGGTGGTAAAATAGGTCATTACTAGTGTCAGATTTACTGTTACTAGCTTATTAATCACACAGGAAAAATAAGTTCTTTTGTAAAATAATTGGATAAAATTCCAGACCTGAGACTTAATGGCTTTTCTTCCCACCGTCTTTTCATTCTTAAACAATTCAACCTAGGTAATAGCAAAATGTTCTGACTTGTCAGTTCAAACATGTCCCCTCCTGAAGCTAGGATGGGACAACTCCACCCAAAATTTGTTCTGAAGGAGCATAAGATAATTTCCCAAAAGAAAATTAAGGGATGATACTAGAAAGAGAGAACATGCAATACAGAATCTGAAACAGTAGATGTCTGGTACTCTCACCTACCTGCCTTCAGCCTGTCAGACTACTGTTCAACTATGTCCAAAATCAGTTGGAACAAAGTCGAGAGTCAGTCTAGAAATCATATATTTTGTTAAGATAATTTCCATATATTTTTTATAATCTATTTTGTATCTCTTTTACAATACAATTTTATAGGTTGATTTGTCCATATTTTAAATTTGGAAATAAAAGATAAAGGGGGGTTACTTCATATTGACAAAGAACAAAGTCAGCATTTATTAATAAAATATGAGTTTGGTTCTGACCTTTCATGTTCTTTAGCCTAGGGAAAATTCACATTTGATAAATAGAAATAAGCAAGAGATGGTGTTAGTAACTGAACTGCCAAAATTTCACAAAGGGGAATTTAGTTTTAGACTATATTTATTACATGATAATAATGTAACTGTGGATTATAAAATAGTGAATGTATTTGTTTCACTAAATCAGTAAAAAGCACGTAGCTGTTAATGATTTGGAACCCAGCTTGCAAAGCACGACTTGGCAGAGCTCTCAAGTGGTTAAGAGTGTTGGTATGAAAGTTAAGGACTTGAGTACTCAAGTCCAAGTCTGGCTGTTTTTGTGGTGTGTGGCCTTGGACCTGATTTCTCTGGGATGCAATTTCCCCATATGTGTAATTGGGGAATAAAATGTAGTCACCCTGCAGTGGAGGGGGGAGTTAAGTGCACTGCCAGTGCAAGCTCCTTCTGTCTTTTCAAGCAGTGCATGTTCTTAGCTTTACACCACCCAGTACCTGACAGGCTCCTTTGCAGTAAGTCACTTAATAATTGCTCATGGCCCCTACAGACCAACTGTTTCAAAACCATAGTATTTTCTAAGATGGCACCATGAAGGACTAAATATGGCCCACGGTTAGTAGGGAAAATTACACTTTCAGTGCCTATTTTTGAGCTTGCACAGGAACACAGAGAAGAGGTACAGACAGTTCTCAGGCTCTGCAATTCACTTCATACATTAGTGCCTCTATTTAAATATTCCCATAAAGGCTATCAACTTAGTTCTTCTTCCCACTCCCCTATACCAACATGGTCTTTGATTCATCATTTCTGAAAACAAGTAGGAGTCTGACATTTTCTCAGAGCTGAGTGATCAGTATCTATGGTGTTGTAAACACCAGAGAAGAAAGATTTAGGTTTAAATTACAGAGCTAACTGCAACATTCTTACTGAGTGACCTTGGGTTCATCATTGATCTGTTATTCCTTTTCCCCTGCTATAAATAAAAAGAACAATAAAGCCGTCTGTGCTTAAATCACATCTTTTCTGTGAGGGGTAAATAAGATGGTGTCATATACAAGGAAATACTATCAAAGTGCACATTTTCATTATGATTTTGATTACACATTATACTTAGCAGTGTGTTAGGTGTAAAGATATACATAGCAGTTTATTAGGGTTTGTTAGTAACTAAATTCTTCTGTGCTCTGCTTCCATTTTCCTGGCTCCCAGAGATGCAAAGGATCCCTGCCAGATGGTGGATTTGTCAGCTGTGTCTTGTTTTGTCATTGTAAATATTCCACAATCCAACTGAGAGGCTTTGCTTATAATGTAGCATGGTTTGCCCTTTATCTTTTACAGATTGAGAATTACATTGTGGAAAATATGAAGTCGGAGATGGCGCAAATACAGCAGAATGCAGTTCAGAACCACACGGCCACCATGCTGGAGATAGGAACAAGCCTTCTCTCTCAGACCGCAGAGCAGACCAGAAAGCTGACAGATGTTGAGACCCAGGTACACCGTGGGGCAGTGTCAAGCAACTCTTAAACAGGGCTTTTTTTTTTTGTCTTTTTAGCACACTCCATAAACGCAGAGTGAAGCACTGGGGATTGGAGAAACATATACATTTTAATTAATTAATTAATTTATTTATTTTAAAGATTTATTTATTTGTGCATACAGAACTGGGGTACAGGCCAGAGGCTCAGGGGCAGCGAGAGGCTTCGCCAGAGACAGAGTGGGGAGCAGAACAGGCAGATCCACGAAGTACACTGCTGAGGGGAGCAGCGGGCGGGTCAGGAGAGGTCTGCCACGCCATGTGGTCACCTCCGGGGCAGGCGGGAATCGAACTCATGAGGAAGTGGCTTTAGTTTCTCAGTGCAGTGCTTTAACCCGCTGCGCCACCAGGGAGGGCCATTTTTATTTATTTTTAATAACAACAATGACTGCCTGACATGCTATGCATGTTTCTTTTGGTTTAATGAACATTAGTATATTAGCATATTTACCATTACATGTATTTGCAACTACAGTACTGGCAAAGGACAGTCAGCCTCCAATAAACGCTGTAGCTACCAACTATGGTATAATATGTGTCAAACAAGATAACTATTTGGGTCAAATTGGTTCCTTTGCTATGAATTTTTGACTTGTCCTGGTTTGTCTCTGGCAGTATTCTAGCCATAGTGGCACCTTCACCTGCTTTGTGCATTCAGTGGTTGGGAAGGAAAAACCCCCAAGTAAATAATGTTTTCCCATACACTGCACTACTTAGGAATGTATAGAATTGTTTTGAAAATTCAGCCTGATTTTATACTAAACAATTAAAACTCTGTGTGTTTGTGCGTGTGTGTTCTTCTACCATGAACAATCCTGCTTAATATATAATCATGTTTATTTATGCACATATCAGTTAATAAAAAGCCCTTTAATCATCACTGTCACATATCTTGCCAGAAGATGATCTCTTTGCACCTTCTAACCATGGAAATGGATACTCCAGTATTCCAGTTGCCATTTTGAAATTATGGTGTTGTTTCCATATCAGTGCAGTTGATTTCTGGAATCAAAGCTGGAATATATTGTGAAAAGATCAATCCACTGGGGAAAGTTTTTAGTAAAGAAAACTTGGAAACAAAGCAAGGAAATTATTTGATTGGCTATAGTTCAAGAGATTGCCTTATTTGGAAAAGCCAAGCTGCCTGTCTATGATTGGTTATGTTTTATTTTCTCAGATTTGTGCTCATAGTCTTTGGCATAGATTTTTTTTTTTCTTATGTAAGCCACTGAGGCATAGGAGTGTTCCTAATAACCGCTTTGTTTAATTATTTTAACAGTGTAAATTAAAAAATAGGGTGAAGCCCTACTTCTATTTTACTTCATTTGTGTTAATAACATCATGATGGTATGTCAGTATTTAAAAGCAACAATGATAATTTGTATGAAAAAGCATTTTACATAACACAGAACTTTTTCCTACATGTAAGTGATTTTTATGAAAACAATTTAGAGTAGACAGACATGCAGTCAGAAAGTTTGAGTGATTTTCTCACATTGATACATCTAGTAGTTGAATCCAGGAATGGAAGAGAGGCATATTCATTTTTCCCCATCTCTGTCCCCTGCGATTAACAATACTAATACTACTTAACTAATTGAATAAGAACTTAAATGTCAATTACATGGAACAAAGGTTCACATAGTCTTTGGAAAATAGTTTTTAGTACACACAGCCATCAGATAACCAGGGAGATTGGAAAAGAGGAAACTACACATTGTAACTAAAACTTAAAAGTCTTGAAATCATTTATCATCACCATAAACAAGATTAGTGATTTATGAACATTGACTTTGTGGAATAAATAATGTGAGTGTATTTTCTCTTACTTTTTTTTTAATGGAATACTCACTGTCTCCTACAAAAACAAATTCATAAATAATATTATCCTACTTGATGGAATATTTTAAATTTTTATGTTTTCTAGTGTATGTAGTGTAGTATATACTACTGTCTATATACTACAGTAAGTTTTATGACATGATGCTAGGGTTTTGTTTATTTTTTTCATCCTTAAAACCTCTTGAGTTGTTTTGTACTTTTTCAACCTAGGAATTGGATTTGTGGAGGGAAAAATATTCCTATTGCTAGCATGTCAATCTTCAAAGTATTATGATGCATGCTATATGAAATTTTAAGAGATAATAACTTGCTCTGCATGCTTAAGGCCAAAAGATATGTGTATTGTGGAAAACAGTACAGGAAATTCATGGGGGAAAAAAAATCACTACTCCCCATGTGGAACAGCTAAAACTAAATAGTCATTAAAGACTGACAAAGTTTATTGGATACAATAAGTATACTTTTAAAAGAGCTATAAAACATAGAAAACTTCTCAAAAAAATTACAAATTTCTCAGAACTCCCAAAGAGAGGGAGGTAGAGAAGAAAGACTGTGTCAGGCAAATAATGATGTCCTACTTACAACATGAAGACTGTGGGCTCTTTGCCCTCATTGTACTGCTGTCCCACTCTGTGC